CTACTAGAAGGTTTTCATACATACTACTAGAAAGCTTTCATACATACTACTAGAAAGCTTTCATACATACTACTAGAAAGCTTTCATCCACACTACTAGAAAGCTTTCATACATACTACTTGAAAGCTTTCATATACACTACTAGAAAGCTTTCATATACACTACTACTGTCCATTTATTTGTCTTCTTTGTCCATTAATACTAATAAGTCCTTAGAAATTGATCAGATTACTGATGACGTGTTTAGCTGCATGCCGTCATTCAACCGCTGGTTGTCTAGGTGGTGTCCTGAAAACAACGTGGGCTACATTAATAATTGGCAATCCTTTTGGGAAAAGCCTGGCCTGATTCAGAGAGACGGCATCCATCCCACTTTGGATGGTGCAGCTCTTCTGCATAGTGTGAGGGATTGCATTTGAGTCAATGAGTTAATGCAACCAACTGGTTTTCCTTAGATAGAAAATTTTGAATCAATTTGACTGTATGATCTGGTTGAACTATAAAGTGCCTTGAGATGACTTGAGTTGTGAATTGCCGCTATATAAATAAACTGAATTGAATTGTAAACTTAATTACTCTGCTATGCATCGTTCTAAAGCTAACTCCAGATACTTCAGTATTTTGAAATTTGGTTTCAGTTGACCTTTAAAAGACAAAAGAAAATAAAACAATTTTGATTTTCCCTTCTTTAAAAAATTACAATAACAGATATTTACACATTAATTGAAACAAAACCACTTTGGTAGTTTTATCATTTATCCTCAGTTATGGAACAATTTCTTCTGCAACAACTTTTGTGCGTCTTTAGGCAAGGCAATTATCACATGTAATGGCAGGATTAATATGCATAGATGCATTATACTTGTACAGTAAAACTGTCTAGTAAAGTCATTGTGTTCTTTCTATTTATGATAACCAAAGTAAAACCTATGATTTTTTTTTTATTGAAAACAACAATCATACAAATTTGGCTGTTGTATACAATGTGTAAATAAACAAAACCCCTAATAAATTGATAAAATTGGTAGTTAATAAAGTTTTTTGAACCAATGGATAAAGCATGAATTGACATGCAGAAACTTAAACCCTTATGTTTACATTAATTTATCATAATTCTCTTGTTTCATCATCTCCATCAACAGTTCTTCCTACAGTGTCTCTCCTCCAGAAGACTCCCTCCTCTCCAGTGAGCTGTCATGCTACAGGTTTCTACCCAGAGAGCGCTGTGATGTTCTGGAGGAGGGGTGAAGAGGAGATTCATGAAGGTGTAGAACATGGAGACATCCTCCCAAACCATGATGAAACATTCCAGATGGAGACTGCACTGGATGTCTCATTAATTCCACTTGAAGATTGGGGAAAATATAACTGTGTCTTTCAGCTCTATGGTGTCAGCAACGACATCATAACCCCTCTGGATAAGACAATAATCAAGACCAATCAGGGTAAGTAGGAAATACTAAAAACTATAGATGGTATGTTTTTTTTGTTTTTTTTTGTTTTTTT